TATACATATATTCAAGGCGCTCTCTTATTTGGAGGCTAGCTAGTGATTGAAAAAAGGTCGAATTCACAGGAACAAATTTGTTGGAATGCTTTTAAGGTTTACGGTTAGAGGTGGTGAAAGAAGTTAGTGTTGAGGGGAGGTTTAAGCCTGTGATTAAGGTCAAAGCTGAGCTTACGGGGAAGGGTTAGATTCGTGTTGACAGTTGGGTTTAGCTTAAGGGTGGAGCTAGGGTTATGGTTAAGGTTAAAGTTTAATTTATGCTAGGACTAAGACGCAAGAATATCTAAACTTCCTGACACCAAGCGCAAGGCCAACTATTTTGACGAGGCGTTTCTATTCCCATGTCCTGTTCAGGTGAATATAGAAGCCATCTCTACTGAATTGAGTTCTTGCCCCAGCAATCATATCTACTTCTTCTTAAGTACTTTCTAAAACTCACATTTTCAATTTTATTGACAAGAAGAATTGTTGCACTTTTCAGCTTCAGTAAATGGTAATGGAGATTTTAACAATGTGAATTTACCTAAAACTGGGTTCACTGACAACTTATAAACCTTTGTTTACTAACCTGTCCTCGCGTTTAATCAACTGAGAGTTCAAGGGAGCAGCATGTGACCCAACGGAGGAAATATGCCTAGATTAACGGAAAATCACTGATCAACCTTAAAACTAGTACAAACGCAGCAACCAAAACACTAAACTACTAACCAATGATCTCCAAGAAAATTAAAACGGAAAACAAGTATTACAAGTACTATGCCGTTGATCAACAAAATGAGGTTTCATAGGAAGCGTTGAAATGAAGAAAACGCGAAAATGTGCATCATGTGAGCTAACTTCAGTTTTAGAAGTACATACCGCCTGTCAATGCGAATGGCTGACTAAATAAAAAGGTATATAAGCAGTAAGGCTTAGGAAGAATAGCTTTTATAGACATTTTCGTACATTATTTTCCTAGAATTAGTGTCAGGCGAGGTTAAGTACAACGTTACGTGCCTTATAGATTATCATATGCTATAAAGGTTTATTGTGAGCAATCGATATGATGCTTCGGTTTTTGCTTTGTTGGAGGCGTAGGTGATTAAAGCAAGGAGGATTTCGCTTGATTTCGCTGATGAAAACGTCCTGAGAAGTTGTGAAGCTGATAGGCCCACCCCTGATTACTGACGATAAGCTGGGGGAACAGACCAAAAACTGTACACAAGAAACGTTATTCGTTTTCAAGGAACATTACCTGTTAATAAATATATATATTGGGATTACAATATTTCAGTAAAATTATGTTTAATAAGACAATTCTTCTTCCTGATTCCGCTAGAATGTTAAAGCAACAATTATCCTTTGGAAGTTCTGAAGTAAAATCGTGATTTTTCAGCAGCCTATTAACACGCCAAACTACTGCGAAATATGTCGTTCGGAAGTTGGAGAATAACGGGTCGGGG